AACCAAGGCAAACCGGCATGAGTGCGAGAGCCCTCTCAAGAACCAAGCAACCATCCAGTGCATGGCCCTCACAAAAAGAGGAACCAAGGCAAACGGGCATGAGTGCGAGAGCCCTCTCAAGAACCAAGCAACCATCCAGTGCATGGCCCGCACAAAAAGGGGAACCAAGGCAAACCGGCATGAGTGCGAGAGCCCTCTCAAGAACCAAGCAACCATCCAGTGCATGGCCCGCACAAAAAGGGAACCACAGCAAACCGGCATGAGTGCGAGAGCTCCTCAAGAACCAAGCAACCATCCAGTGCATGGCCCGCCAAAAAACAAGTTGGAAGAGCAAACCGGCATGAGCGCAACCCTCTCAAAACCAAGTAACCATCCAGTGCATGGCCCGGCACAAAAAGGAACCAAGGCAAACGGGCACGAGTGAGAGCCTCTCAAGAACCAAGCAACCATCCAGTGCATGGCCCGCACAAAAAAGGGGACCAAGGCAAACCGGCATGAGTGCGAGCCAAGAACCAAGCAACCATCCAGTGCATGGCCCGCACAAAAAAGGGGACCAAGGCAAACCGGCATGAGTGCGAGAGCCCTCTCAAGAACCAAGCAACCATCCAGTGCATGGCCCGCACAAAAAAGGGAACCAAGGCAAACCGGCATGAGTGCGAGAGCCCTCTCAAGAACCAAGCAACCATCCAGTGCATGGCCCGCACAAAAAAGGGAACCAAGGCAAACCGGCATGAGTGCGAGAGCCCTCTCAAGAACCAAGCAACCATCCAGTGCATGGCCCGCACAAAAAAGGGAACCAAGGCAAACCGGCATGAGTGCGAGAGCCCTCTCAAGAACCAAGCAACCATCCAGTGCATGGCCCGCCCAAAAAAGGGAACCAAGGCAAACCAGCATGAGTGCGAGAGCCCTCTCAAGAACCAAGCAACCATCCAGTGCATGGCCCGCCCAAAAAAGGGAACCAAGGCAAACCAGCATGAGTGCGAGAGCCCTCTCAAGAACCAAGCAACCATCCCATCTCATGAGAACCAAGCAACCATCCAGTGCATGGCCCGCCCAAAAAAGGGAACCAAGGCAAACCAGCATGAGTGCGAGAGCCCTCTCAAGAACCAAGCAACCATCCAGTGCATGGCCCGCCCAAAAAAGGGAACCAAGGCAAACCAGCATGAGTGCGAGAGCCCTCTCAAGAACCAAGCAACCATCCAGTGCATGGCCCGCCCAAAAAAGGGAACCAAGGCAAACCAGCATGAGTGCGAGAGCCCTCTCAAGAACCAAGCAACCATCCAGTGCATGGCCCGCCCAAAAAAGGGAACCAAGGCAAACCAGCACAAAAAATAGGTACCAAATACCCAAGGTACCCGGCGTGAGTGTTGGTTTCACGTCTTCGCGGATCGTTCCCTGACGGCATCCTGACGGTCCAACGGGCGCGGTGCCTCAGCTGTGCTTCCAGTGCCAAGGAGTTCCTCCAGCCGCAGTTCCTGGCCGAATCACTGAAACGGAGGGGAGACCCCCATTTTACCCTGAAGATCCGGGCTCAAATCCAAATCCAAACCAGGAAAGAATAGCTGGGGCCTTTCAGTTGGCTGCGACATTCCTGCGATTTGCGGCCATTCGACCAGCCAAACAGCGCTGGAGACTGTCCTGGTTGAAATCAGGTTTTCGTGGGGAAGGGCTTGAGAAAAACCAAATCGCAATGCTGCCAAGGCTCGGTAGGATCGACCTGGCGACAAGCTCGGGTACACGGGTCACGAGAGTCAAGTGTTATCCTAGAACAGGGCACAGCAGGTCGGATTCGGATGGGCCTCCCATTCGGCGAAAGTGGAGTCCTGGCAGGAATCCAAAAGTGCTCAGCCAATGTTGCTTGCCCATGTGCTACAATCGCACGCTTCACGCTTTGTGTTGCCATGTACGTCGCTTTCGCCTAAGGAGGAAGTGTGATAGTGCTCTCTGCGGTACTGTTTGCAAGCTCGCTCTCGTGTTTTCCCCGCCGCAGGCGCAAGAAACTCCCGGCTCCGCGAGATTTGTTTGACTCGCGGATCCGCCTCAGAATCGCTGGTTCGAGGTCCTTCGAAGCTTAAGCGGCAGCCTCCGCACTCTTCGTCAGAGTCCGAGCTGCAACCCGCTTGTAGAGCCGTTGCTTGTATGGGCAATTGTACACTATCCCCTGCTCCGTGACGCGAAACTCCGTGGGCTGATCGCCCTTGTGACCGCAAGGAGTGGTCCAGGTGAGGCTCAGCTTCTGGTCGCTTTTCTGCCACCGACCGACGCCAGAGGACTCCCTAGAATCCTTGCCCGAGTACCCGCCCCCATCGGTCCAGCTCCGGTTGTGCATCAGGTGCCTCGTCGCGGAGCCGTCCGCGTGCAGCACGATCTCGTCCTTGCCGTCGTCGATGTCCGAGTCGTAGTTGAAGGCTTCACAGTCCTCGAGAAAATAGACCTCGTCTTCGCCAGACGCAGCTTCTGCCGCCATCTTGACCGAAAAGGGACTTGAGGGCTGGTGCTGCCGTGCAGGCTGGTTTGTGCGTGTGTCAGTGTATAGGCCCCATCTGCGATGAGCAGCGACTAAAAGGCCTTGAGCACAGATATAAATGCATATTTCACACGCAACTCACGGCTCATGGGCGAAAAACTCCCACCAAACATGCCCAACAAAACACTCACTCACACACTCAGTTGGCTGTGGCTCAAAATTAAACCGAAGGGGCAAACCGCGGGTTTTGGTGTATGTTTCCACTTACCAAGGTTCCATGTTGGTACCGGATTTTTTGAGCCACACCCAGTTGCTTACAATTAAAGCACCCCAGAGGAATAAAAGGTCAATCAGCTAGGGCCATGTCCGTTGGCTGCAAAACATGACACGCGAACCAATTTGCCCCGTTGGCTATTGACCCCTTCCAGCCTGCGCGGGCGCCTGCGAGGTGCAAAATGCGGGGCCCCTCTCTGACCCTAAGGCTGGGCCTACGGAGGTTGCACCAAAATCCCCGCAAAAAAACGACAACAACAACTGCTAAACCACCCCCCCCCCCCCCGCAAATCCGAGATCCGAAATGGAATCCCATTCGATTCTGGGTAAATTATATATATATATATATATATATGTATTTCACCAACCTGAAACAAGCTGGTTGGGGGGCTAGTCCCCACATAAACCACAATTCGGGGTGAGGTCGTATGAGGTCGTTGTAATTCACCCAGATTCGATTGTGGGTGCTCGAATCGTGCCTCGGGCATCTCGTGGCTGGCACCTGCACAGAGATCTCCCATCGGGAAAACATGGAAATGATTCTTCCGCTCTCGCGCCTCCGGCCGCCGGAATCGCCTAGGCCGGTTTTTCGCAAATGCGCTTAGGCCGCTTTTTTGAACTGGACTTGGGAGTGGAAAAGAGGAAACAAACACAAAGTAACGCTTTTTGACAGTCTGAGGTGATCAACTTGCCCAAACGCTGCGTGTTCAGCTCTGCTCCAGGGCTGCTCCTTTTTGCTCGCTGCGGTTGGCTCGCTGCCGCTCCGCTCTGCGCACCTGACCGAAGGCTTGGCTTGCAGCGATGCTTTCCCAAAATATTGGTCCTGGTTTAGTTGATATGGGTCAAAATCCAAATCGTACCCCCAGTGAACATCCCAATCCAACCACTATAGGTCCTAAAATGGGTGGTGAATTCACCTACCCCAAAATGGCCAAAACGGCTTTGACAACCACAGCCATTTCGGTTTGGACACCGAAACAAACGCGGCGGCGACATGCGGTCCTCCGTGCCATTTCGGCGCGCGGATTTCCGCGTGCCGTTCCGCTTCTTGTGAAGCGTGGTGCGCCGAGGGCGAGCGGTGCTGGGGGGCCTGCAGCGTTTGAGAGCACTTGGCTGGCAGGGTGACGTTTTCGCTGGCCCCTCCTGCCTGACCTAGGTCTGTCACAGGGAATCCGACTTTTTTTGGGATCTAGGGAGGCGAAGAAAGAGAAGTTCCGAGTTGCTACGGTGGATGGACGAAGTCCTGCACCAAAGAAACCCTGGAATGATTCGATGCCCAATAAACAAATACACCCAACAAACGTTACAAGGTTTCTCCTGGTTTCAAATCGTGGTGCGAGTTTGGATTTGGTGTTCATCCACCGCATCAGCACCAAGCACCGAGCACCGAGCACCAAGCGCCTGGTGTCATCACTGGAGACCTCGTGGATGAACTGGCCCAAGCGGCTCATGAGCTCATAGCCGAAGCCCTCGTTTTCCTTGTCGCGAGGTGCTGCCTGGACCTCCTCCATGGAGGGATGCGCCGGAGGCTCCTGGGAGTCTCAGCTTTCAGATTTCCACCTCCCTCAGACGAACAGCCGGAAGCTCCCAGAAGGCCTTGGCAAATACAGAACCAAGTCTTCCAAAGGGGTCCTGGGAGCTTCCATTCGGTGGTTTGGTTGAAAAGGGGGGGTGTGTTCTGCCCAGTCTACCCTCTACGAGGGCTTCAAATCCAAATCCGAACCACCAATCGAATCCAAACCACCAGCTAGTTGCCGGTTGCCTGAGTCGTGTCCTACACACACAAAAAACATCTCCCGTCCTTGTCTTCCTCCGCCTCGGAGCAAGCAAAAGCTCGAACAAAGGGCCATTTATTTGCCGGATCGCCAAAACCATGCGCTATATCCCTGAGCCGTCCTCAGTTTTCCAACCGGAGTCGGCCTTGCTTCCATGGCCACCGGGCAAGGGTTTGGTGCGTTGCATCACCATGTCTGCCGCAATTTAAACCAAGGCCGAGGTTGATTTGAATGGGGGACCCTGTTGGTAGATATCTATCATTTTGGTGGGGACCCAGCAAATTGGTATATCAGATATCTATCATTTTGGTGGGGACCTATGTTTGAAAAATAAAAACACTTTCAGGGTGGTTCCCTAGTAAAAATCGCAAAATCGCAATGTCGCCCAAGTTGGCGCCTCGATTTCCGGCAGCGCCATCCACTTCTGCTGCAAGCTACTCGAGAGGATCCGGATGTGGGTGATGGGGCCCTCAGGTCGCACTGACCAAAGCATGACGCTGGCGGGCTTCGGAGAAAAAAAGGTAAGGAATGCCCTCCCAAATAGTTGGTCTAAATCCCCAGCTACATCCCAAAAACATATCTAAAAATCCCTGCGTCTTCCTGATGCCCTGATCCCAAGTCACAGGGTCACACCTGCAAAGAGGCTAGCGACTCACAACATTCCCATTCACTGGAGTGGATTGCCCCCCCCAAAAAAAAGAGTAACCGAATTTGTTATGTACCAAAATGCTCCAACCCCAAAAAGTGACCAAAGTCCAGGAACTCAGGAAGTGAGATTCCCTAATGTCAACCCCGGGTTAAGCAGAACCCCTGGTTAATTTTGATTGGGGGGTGTCCCCTTTTAGTGGGGATTCATCACTGTTGGAGGGGTTTCACCCCCCTAATAACGGGACGGGTTTATTAATCCTGGGTCAACATTAGGTCTCACAGAGTATCCCTCGCACAAAAGGATTTACTTTTAGGATTAAGAACCATGCCAGAGAGATCCCTTTCGTTCCGTCCAGGATCCCCGCCCTTCTTCTTTTGGTGGGTGTCATCAATGGGTTCACCATCATCTCCGAGAATTGGGCGACCCCCAATAGCTGCGGGTTGGTGTCAAATTGGGTGTGCCTTCTTCTTCTTTTTTGCGGACCACCCAAATGGCAATCATGATTTCCCAAACATGGATGAGCCACCCATTTTCCCTCAAACATGCGGGCCTTTGTAAAGGTGCGAAAACCTGATGCACCTTTGGTGAAGGTTTCCAGAGAGTCTACTCCAAGCAAAACTAGGTAGACAAACAGGCCATTGTTTTAGGTTTCCACCTACTAAACGATAAATTTCGGATTTGCTACAATGAAACCAGGTGGCAGTGTCTTGCAATCGGAATCCTTGACACCAACCAAAAGAGGGCTCCCACAAAAAACAGAAGCTAGATTTCCCTTGTAAATGGAATGAACCCCATCCAAACCCAATCTAAAAGGGACACCTAAATAAAGCCAGGCAACCCCCCTACCTCAATGGTGAGGGATCCCCAATTCCGCTTATCTAGTCTTCTGTGGTTCAAATGGAATTCAGTAGCTAAACAGGGGACAACTTAAATACAAAAAAAGAAGAAGATGGAAGTATGCCTCTCTCTCTCTCTCTCTCTCCCCTTCAAATTCACCGCCATGTCTTAATCCCCCCGTGAAAATGGAGCCCTCCGTTCAAGAACAACTCCACGGATTGATTCCTTGATCTGCACAATTTACAATACGTCAACACCTTCAACAAGAATCGGCTCCCCAAGTAAAGGATTTGTTCACCTGCTCGTTTCACCCCCCGGGCCCGAATCGGTGAGCTCGCCAGACGAACTAGGCAGCTGCCTTCGTTGCCCAGCCTGTATCTAAAGAAAATGGGTGTCACAAAGCAAAGGGAGCCCCTGAAAGGAAAAGGCAAGCCGCCTAACCCCGCCGGCTTGACCTGGCCCGATACTTTTACCATCAAAGTCACCCCAGGTTAAAGGGAAAAACCAACCCCTTCTTTGATACCAAGAAACAGTCCACAGGAACTTCAACCCCATCTTCTGACCTTGAGAACCAATAAAAAAAAAAGAGAAAAAGAAAGTCCACATACCCAGCTACCGATTGAACCCATGGGACCTCACTTGCTTTCGCTCCCCTGCTAAAAGTTCAACTTTTAGTGGTTGCATTCGGACACCCGTTCGTTGGCAAAAAGTCAAAGTCCCGATATCAAGCCCAGTGGAACCATGTATCTGGCCTTGTAGGCCCTGGTAGATGATTGGTTCCCACCAGGTAAACCAGTGCCATAACCAACAAGGACAGCAAAAAATTGAGTCCAGTCGTTCAGCTCCCTTTTTTGCAGAGAGCACCCTCTTTGAGGATTCCACCCCGTGCGTTCCCATCAAGCCATCGATGGCGCTCTCTCGGTGCCTCCGAAGGCTCCGAAGGCGACCCCGGCCTGGCGCAGGAGCTGCGGCTTCGCCTCGCAGGCGCCGCGCTGGAAGCGGCAGACCACGGTGGAGCGCCTGGTGACGCCCTCCTCCGCCTCGGTTTTCCGCAGGGGGAACAAAGGAATGCAACCCACTCCATGGAGGGAATACACATATATATATATGTATGTATGTATGTACGTACGTACGTACGTATGTATGTATGTATGTATGTGTGTATGTATGTATGTATGCATACATGCATGTATGCATGTATGGATGCATGCATGTATGTACGTACGTGCGTACATACGTGCGTATGTATGTATGTATGTATGTATGTATGTATGTATGTATGTATGTATGTGTGTATGTATGTATGTATGTATGTATGTATGTATGTATGTATGTATGTATGTATGTATGTATGTATGTATGTATGTATGTATGTATGTATGTATGTATGTATGGATGCATGCATGTATGCATGCATGCATGCATGTATGTATGTATGTATGGATGCATGCATGCATGCATGTATGCATGAATGCATGTATGCATGCATGCATGCATGCATGCATGTATGTATGTGTGTATGTATGCATGCATGCATGTATGCATGAATGCATGTATGTATGCATGCATGTATGTGTGTATGTATGTATGTATGTATATATATATATGCTACCCCACCCCGAGAAACAACTACCTGTTCTAAGATTTGCCTGGTATTTGCGCGGTTGTTTGCCTGTTTTGAAGCTTTGGAGAGAGCAGCGAAACAAGGTGCAAGGACATCCTGGCAGCTTTCCAGGCTCGACTGAAATTTCAGTCGGTTTCAGTTGGAGCCTGGACTCGAGTTTGCCTGGACTCGAGTTTGGATTCCGTCCTCATCAAATTATGTTTATACTCCAATTGAATTGTGCAGCTCTATTGGAAAAGGAACTCTATCTCGATTCTAAACCTAAGATATAAATTCCAGTAGGATTCTGAACACCTATTTCCGTATTGAGCCCAATTAAATCCTATTCAGAATCAACTGGAAATTTAGAGACTGTCGTTGGTGGAGATGTGAAGTGAGTATAACAAACGCTACAAAACACTGTGTTTTACGGTGTGACACAATTTTGGGACCTCTGAATTCTTCCCTTCTGAATTCTACTTAGTCTCTTTATCAAATTCTAACCATTTGCTTGGTCGAAATTAAATAGAACTTATGAATGAACGACTCCATCAAAATTTCTATGTTAAAGTAGACTGAATAATGAGTATTCTATTTCAACTTGAATGTTACAAAGGATCCTTTACAATACAATTGTCTTTACAAATGAGACACCAGTTAAACACACACTGTTTCCACGCGACCTCTGGATTCTGACCTTACTACGTAATGTCCAGCTAAAACCAACCAACATTTAATAAGGACATACTCCCGTCACAAAATAAACTGAAATTAGAGCTTAACTATTATTTATTATATTTCAAATTTCATGTTAAACGAGTTGTCCTTTCCAATAGAGAATTTTACTTGACCTTCACGTACTGTAACTATAACAGTTAGAGTTAAACAGCCTAGTCCTAGTCTTGTCCTAGTCCTAGTTGAGAGATCCTTGGTTCTAGTCCTAGTTTGGTCCTAGTTTACTGAAACAATTAGAGACTACTACACAAAGATAAATCGTGTAGTCCTGGTTTGGTCCTAGTCCTTGAGCCCTTCCGTCCGGTCCGAGCAAATCATGCACAGAGGCAACAAAAAGGTAGGTTCCGGGGGGGGGGGGGAAATATAATACGCATGTATGAATCTATGTATGTGTATCAATATATATATATATAGAAAAATGCAACCTCCCCCCCTGGATGGATCTACAATTTTGCTGTTTGAAGGCTATTTTGGAGATGGAATGCAGTTGTTCTATTTGGAATGCCTCATGCGACTTGACCAGCATCAGCTCACCCTAAAGAAGGAAATCCTCGTCAAAATCCAATTTGGAATAAGAAATCAAATTATGTGTTTTTCATTGAAAAGGAAATCCTATTTATTATCTTTAAAAATTGAAATTCTAGTAGAACTATGTCCTTGTTTGCTTCCAGTTAATTCTAAATAGAAAGTGGAGAAACAATATCCCGGGAAAGCACATTCTTTTTAAAATATATTTGAAGTAAGCATCCCAACTAACAATCTTCTTCAAAATGGAAACCCTCTTCAAATCATCTTCAAGTCTGGAAATTATATTAAGTGTTGCTCACTGTTAATTTGTTTTTAAGTTCTGATCAGAAAATTGAACAAATCATTATGAAAAAAAAACCTCCTGATGAACATCTCATTTGAAATAAGAATTCCAACTGTTAAATAGCCTCTTTAAAAAACCTATGTAAATTATCTTTACCACCAGAAATTCTATTAAAATTATGTCTCCATTCAATTATATTGAGAATATGCCAAACAATAAACCCTGTTGAACATCTAGTTTAAAACAAGTCACATCTTGTTCGACAAGAACATCCTTAAACTAGAAACTCTACTAGGGTTTGCTTCTTATTAAATTCCATGTCAATTCTAGTTAGACTATTGAACGAACACAATCATAGAAACATATCGCTCTTTTAAAAATCTTTCAAAACTGTTTTGACAATTATGATTGAGTCTTGATTTTTCACTCCTTATCGAATACGTTAAATTCCAAGCAAACAAAACAATAAAACCATGCACAAAACAATAAGTTTATTTGAACAAATACATGTTTCCAATGAAAGTCATTGAGCAAGCATCTACGAGAAATAAGTCCGATTCAAATAGACGTGACTCAATAAAACCCAAACCCTACACCCTTAACCCGGTCATTCTAAGCTGAGGTTTGGTCAGAAGAAGCAAAACCAGCAGCTGTGTTGCAGCCAATGCCCAACAGTCGACAACGTAATAACAAAAAAATGGAGCCAATAGCCCAAAAGCAAAGGCGTCAAGTTCGGGAGCCAATGACCCAAAAGAAAACAAGCCAAAAAGCAATCGGAGCCAATGACCCAAAAGTATTAAACAAATTAAAATCAGCCCATGGTCCTGAAGCAAAATGCATTGACCATGGACTGACATATTTTGATTTCTACTTCTTTACATGTTTACTTGTTTTTTTATTTTTTTACTTTTTCACTTTTGAGTCATTGGCTCCAACATAGCTGTTGGTTTGCATCTGCTGACCAAACCTCAGCCTAGAAATAGGATAGAGCAATATCCAAACCGACTGGATTCAATATTTTCTGGAACACGTTGGCCTAAAGCTTTCAGATTGTCTTTGGAAATGCGGGTTTCTTCTGCTTTGTCCAAAGCCCAAAAAAAGGCAGAAAAGACTGCACATACCAGTGAATTTTGAAGGAAGGTAGATACATGGGGGGGGTCGATATATATATATATATATGTATATGTATATGCATATATATATATATATATATATGTGATATACCGACATTTGACCCCATTCGAAGAATTGTGCATGGGTACAAACACATGTCCACCGGGAAACGGACAATGAACACCAAGTAGCACGAGAGTTCCGTGCCAAGTGAGCTGAGCTGCGACCCACTGCCTCACCCTCAAGACCCCTTGCTCCAGTTGATCTGAAGGCCTGTCCTGGCCAGGGCCGAGTCCGGACACGTCTTCAGCGACGCTGCCGGAAAATCCTCACTTCCAGCGTTTTTTGGGTGTTTTTTGACGGCAACTGTCAACTATCCAGAGAGAAAATCTAGGTCTTGCCATGAGGTCTGAGCTGGCGAGACGATTGCATTTTGTTTGCTCAGTCGGACTTCCGAATCGGCTCGGGTTTTGCCTTGCGAGACATCCAATTGATTTAGATTTGGTTTCCATTTCTGCACCAACGAGGGTGCACCGTTCGAGCCTGCGACTCTCTGGTTGAAACTGAGCCGTTGGTGGAAAGTCAATAGGCACACGTTTTATTTGAGCTGAACCATTGGGGAGCCACAACAATAAATCCAAACAGCACTAGCAATGAAAACCACCTTGCCTGGGGCCTGGTTTGGAGCTGTGTTGGAACCTTGCAATTTGTTGAAATCAGAGCTGGCTTCGCTAAAAAGCTAGTTTGGTTCAGTAGAACTCACTTGGTTACCTCACTTAGGGGTCCTTCCTTTAAAAGGGACCCTCTGGTGGATTCCATGTTTGGGGACCCAAAAAAGATACCCTTGCCATTTCTCAGGACCACTTTTTGAAAGCCCCGCAGCCGGGCCAACCCAAGAGACACTCAAGTGAACTGCCGATTCCGTGGACAGGAGGCTAATCTGTGTTCTTGCTCGAGGAATCGGACCCCCAAAATGGCACAACGGTCTTCCTTTTGGAAAGGTCCATTATGAAACAAGCAAAAAAAAAGGGGTACCAACTCCAAAGAAGAGACAGACCCAGTTGAGCCATAATCAAAGCCAAGTATTAAAATGGTCTACCCAGAACCATGAACAGAATTGTGGCAAATAGTGGTTTTCCTTGCTTCTCCTACAAAACCACCCAAAAACCGGCAAAATAGACAGACCCAAAGGGATTTGTTGTCGCACATGGTGGTTTTCCGTTTGGTTTTCCTCCAATCCCACCAAACAAAGGCTACCAGCTCCAAAAAACAATGACCGACCCAGTTGAGTCCTCACAACCCGTTTTTTTTTCCATGGTCTACCACCAGAAATGTTTTACGAATTAATTCACAAGCTGGCGAAGGCACCCATATTTCTGGCAAGGGGACTGTCCCTGACCCTTCAACTACGTACCCCCCCAAAAAAAAGAGAGATTCAATTGGCTATGGGTCAAAAATCCGCACCCAAAATGGAACCCTGGTAGATGGAACGAAAGGCTAAAACCTGCGGTCACCTGGTGATTGCATTTTGACCCATGCCTAAAATGCACCAAACTGGGGACACCAAACTAAAATGGACCAAACTGGGAACACCAAACGGTCCAAAAAGGTCGCTCCGCTTCGGGCAGAGTTTCTGGAGCCCTGGCTACCCCAAAAAAGAAACCCACAGGCCCAATTCATTGAAGTAGCACCCCGTGGCCCCCCGTACCCCCCCCCCCCGCAGAAAAACAAAAAACAACTGATTTCTCAGATGCCCAGTGGCCAGGGGAAAACAAAAAGGATCGGCATCTTTTTTGGTTGGTTGAGTTTGAAGGGAACCCTTCCCCCAAAAAAGGTGAAAAAAGGGGGCAGAACCCACTGAATGCAACTGGGATTTGGATCTGCGTATGTCCCAAAAAGCCCCTGGAGGGTACTTGACTTCATCCCTGGACTTTCCGGAGCCCTGGATTTTGGGTTTCCGGGGCTCCGGGTATCCCGAAAAAAGAAGTCCACACCCCGAAGCCGCCGGACTCGCGAGCCGACTCGCGAGCCTTGGAGCCGGTCTTCACCACCAGGCGCCGCAGCCACTTGCCGTAGCACTGCGCGTAGCCCTCAGCGCGAGAGCCGTGGGTCCGGTCCAGAGGTCCGGAGGGTGGCCCGGCTGCCCTTTAAAGGACCAAACCCGACCCAAACTTCCATTGGCATTTTTGGTGCCTGGAGAAAGATGAACATATTTGTCCAAACCTCAAGTAAAGCCCCAAAATGAAACCATTGGCGTTTGGCCCCCTGGGAAAAATGAACAAATATATGTCCAGTAGTGAAATCGATTCCCATTAAAACCAGCAAGGCATAAGCTCAGGTGATATCCCCAACAGCATGCGGTGCTCTTTTTAGTGCTCGCACCACCCCGCAGCCCTCGCAGAACCTCATGGAACCCTGGTGGAACCGGGTGGAACCTTACCTCAGGGCTGCCCGGACCACCCGGAGCCTATCTGGGCTGAGACCCCAAAGCTTTCAGCTGTTGGGGGACAAACAAAAATATTGAGCAAATGGTTAAAAATGAAAGGGGGGGAAAGGGGGAGCAAAGGGGGACCAAATGGAGAAGCCTTTGAAACGGAAAGAAAGCAAAAGGGTCCTCATCTAGTTGCTTTGGTTCCTCCAGGATGAGAGACATATGAGAATGGGAGGAATGCCTCTGGGAAATTGACAAGTGATGGCTTTTTGTTTGTACCCAGAACCTGACTCTTTGGGAGCACACTTAGGCTATGCCAAATGCAGGGCTCAGGCGTCGAAAGTCTTGGACATGGAAACGTTCGGTCTCAATAGCACAGCAACCTACATGGATTTCGGTGTTCCTGTTCCCCTTTGCCCACCAAAAGAAATGTTACAACGCAGCCAAGCAACCAAGCAATCAATCAAGCAACCAACAAACCAACCTAGCTACCTATCTACCTAGCTACCTAGCTACCAACCAACCTAGGTAGCTACCTGCCAATCAACCAACCTACCTCCCACCTTTTTGGGGCATCAACTCAAAGCGACCGAGCCATGGCAACCACCAGGCCTTGCGACCCGCCAAAGCCCCGCCTCGCTGGAGAAGGCCACGTCCAGGAAGTCGCCGATCTCGAGCGAGAAAAAAAAAGGGGACTCCCCAAAGTGGCAACATGGTGTTCCCTTTTGGCTCTTCCTTAAACCAACCAAACGGTGGTTCCCCCCACCCCCACAAACAAAAGACACACCTACTTGCATAAAAACAGGACTCTGAAACCGAAACTCCCGGATTGGATCCGAGAGAGGATACTCACTCAACGAGTGGACTGGCCTCACCAGAGCTGAACCAGGGAAAAAAATCAATCCAAACAAAACAGGCAATGAACATGCACTTGCCTCCGAATATGAGTATGTCCTTCTTTTTAGGGAAATTCCAAGAGAGGATTTCGGGTTTTCCTCGGTACCAACTCCAAAAAAGGGTTGAGCTTGGCAGGTTCTTGGGGTGTGTCGTTCTGGAGTTTTGGTTTCCTAGCAAATATTGATGTGGGTCCTTGTTTTTTTGAGGATACCCTTTTGCTGGTGGTTTTAAAGGGAAGCCAAAAGGACAACAGCCATTTGGCGGCGGGTCCTCTAAGCCCATGTGAATTTGTGCAGGCACGACATTGTGGACATCAAGATTCGGTGCGGATAAACATGCCAACCACTTCTATTAATGGCTCTGGCAGAAGAAGGGATGCCCTATTGGGCCGGGGTTGATTCCGTTTTTAGTGGAGAATGGCTGCTTATGTCATGCAAACTGATCTCTGGGCCTTACCGACTTGTGCGAAGCAATGGGAACCCCATAGTTTTGAACCCATGCTACCAAGAGGCAGTGTTTCTTCCAAAAGTGCAGGATGCCCGCTAACAGAAATTGGGAACCCGATCAAAATCAACCGGGGCTCTATTACGTTAACATGAAAATTGGGGCTGTCGCCTTTTTTGGTTGAGTTACAGTACCTTTGTTTGGCTTTTTGTGTGAGGGAAATGCCAAGAGCAACAACGGAAAAAAAAAAAAAAAAAAAAAAAAAAAAACTTGGGGGTCCCCCAACCTGACTAGGTTCTCCAGTAGAGAGGTTAGAATAAGATGGTACCCTTTTTTCTGTAGTTCATTTTAGTAGGGGAACCCTCCCAACCAAAAAGAAACGATGAGAAAGGGCACCTGGCTGGGGTCCACTCGCCTAAAAAAGACCTTCTCGACCCCAACCGGGTGAGGTCACCACTCGCAACCCTCCCAACCCAAAAAAGCCGGGAAGAGGAAATTTGGCACCACTCGCCGGAAAATCCCCCAAACTAAAAACAAAAACAAAACCAGAGGCAAAGGGCACCACTCGCCGGAAAATCCCCCAACCGAAAAACAAAAAAGACAAAACCAGAGGCAAAGGGCACCACTCGCCGGAAAATCCCCCAACCGAAAAACAAAAAGAAACGATGAGAAAGGGCACCTGGCTGGGGTCCACTCGCCTAAAAAAGACCTTCTCGACCCCAACCGGGTGAGGTCACCACTCGCAACCCTCCCAACCCAAAAAAGCCGGGAAGAGGAAATTTGGCACCACTCGCCGGAAAATCCCCCAAACTAAAAACAAAAACAAAACCAGAGGCAAAGGGCACCACTCGCCGGAAAATCCCCCAACCGAAAAACAAAAAAGACAAAACCAGAGGCAAAGGGCACCACTCGCCGGAAAATCCCCCAACCGAAAAACAAAAACAAAACCAGAGGCAAAGGGCACCACTCGCCGGAAAATCCCCCAACCGAAAAACAAAAAAGACAAAACCAGAGGCAAAGGGCACCACTCGCCGGAAAATCCCCCAACCGAAAAACAAAAAAGACAAAACCAGAGGCAAAGGGCACCACTCGACGGAAAATACCCCAAACTAAAAACAAAAAAGACAAAACCAGAGGCAAAGGGCACC